TTACTGAGGTGTGGTTTTTGTTTCTGATCTATTCTTTTCTGGAGGAATGTGCACCAAATTCACAAGCAAGAACTGGTTAGGTGATCATTTACTGCTGCTCTTTTCTGATTTAAAATTCAAGCAAAATTGCTTTTCTGAATTTGCTAAATTTCTAGTAAGCATGAATGATCCTATTAGCATCCTTCTTTTTTGTTTATATCTGCCAAAGTCCATTTTTCATGGTGTGTGTGTGTGTGTGTGTGTGTGTGTGTGTGTGTGTGTGTGTGTTGCTAGGGATCAAATCCAGGTCTCGTGCATGCAATGTAGGTGCTTCACCAGAGTCACATTCCTGGACCACATGTTCTATTTATAATTAATCTAATCATACCCTTTTAGATACATTGTCAATATTTTTTTAGTTCTCCATCCTAGAAAAAAAGAATAATTTAAAATATTTTTGGTGCCTAGAAAGGTAAATTTCCCTCGAGAGACAGACATACTTATATTATGTTTTGTTTTGATTTTTTCAGTTACACTCGGCAGTGCTCAGGGCTTACTCCTGGTTCTGTGCTCAGGGGAACATACGTAGTGCCAGAGATTGGGCCTGGGTCAGCTGCATGCACAGCAAGTGCTTTCCTCACCTGTACTATTTCTCTGGCCTCTATTCTTTTAAAATGAGTGCCATAATGACTTGGTAATCCCCTTAGAATTTTTTTAATAAAGAAAGGGGTTCATGGCATAATTCCTGAAAAGTCACCTTATCCTTTGGTTACTTGCTGCAAACAAGTTTCTTGTTTAAAAGTTAATCCCGACCAGAAGAGAGCTCCAGGGGCTGCAGTGCATACATGGCCTACATGAGGCCCAGCGTTCACTCCTTACACTTTTTAATCCCCAGAACCCCAAATGGGTATAGCCTTGGTGGTCTCCAGTACCACAGGGCCCCAGCATGACACACCATTGAACTGTCTGTCTAGTGAAACTTGGGCCCTGAGACTCCAATAGCACCGCTTGGGAGGCTGTCCCCTCTGGTGGGATATTTTTTATGGGTATAGAGGGATTCGCTGTTACACATTTTCCTTCTAAAGTTTCAAAATACACTTGGTGGGCATTTATCTAGATACTTTTCTTGGTCCTTCTGAAACAGAATCAGGAGGAGGAAAAACATTATATGAAATTAGTGTTTGAAAATAATTTATCTTTTACATTTTTATTCTCATGCTATTTGGAAAATAAAAATCTACAGCACCATCTTCTGAAAAGGCACTTTCTAAGAACCGCCTTGATTTATAAAATGATTAAAAAATTTCATTCAGCATACCCTGTAGAACATCTTTGCTTTACTGAGACCCTAACAGAGATACAACATTTGATTTTGGTTTTCTGGCATTGACTTCATAAAGGAAATGAGACCAATGGTTTGACAATTGGACAGTCTTTTTGTGGGAGGGAGGGGGAACAGAATCTCTTAATTCTGATAGTTTGCTAAACTGACACTTCAATAGGATTTCTCATAATAGTAATCCTGACTATCTGTACTAAAAAAATTATCTTTCCTGCTTCAATTTAAATTAAAATCTTTTATTTCTATAGCTTAAGAACAAAAGATTTCTTGAGGTTTAATCAACAATGTAAAAATACAGAGTATTATCCTTGATGGGTAAAGAAAAATTAATTTTAACTAGTAGATTATATTAGTATAAAACAGAATCAGTATATCTTAGTTGAGAAAAAATTATTTTGTCCAATCTGGAAGATTCTAAATGAAAAGATACCAGTTTAAAGGTAGGAAAAAGTAGCATAAGGCAATGAATTTTCTCCTCTTGGAGTCGGTTTGACCTTTCACTAATCACAGTATCATTTCTAATATTGCCACTGATTAAGAATGATCTTAGAATAAACAAATTTAAAAAATATCTGTAATTTTTATGGTGCCAGTGACTGTTTCACACAATAGGAATGTGCTCTACCATGGAAATACATCCTCATCTGCAAAGAAAGACTTTTTGTTTTTTGGGCTATCCCCAGTGGTGCTCAGAGATCACTCCTGGCAGGCTAGGGGGACCACATAGATCACCGGGGATTGAATCCGGGTGAGCATGTGCAAGGCAAATGTCCTATCTACTACACTATCACTCTACCTCTTGGTTTACTTTTTGTCTTCTGCAGATTCACAATAGTGTTTTACATGATCAAATGGGAAGCAATCAGGAAAATAAGAATTGAGAGTCAGGAATATACTGCTCCTTAGAAAAGTGTCACTTAATATAAAGTCTTTAATCTGTTATCAAAGTTTTAAGATATCCATAAATTCTCAAGAAATGGAAAGAATTAAATCTTCATGTGGACAAAAAAAATATGTCAATGGGGACATTTCTGCAGCTTGACTAATGAAAGATCATTTCAGTAGCAAGTTACTTTTGAGTCAGACTGTAGGAGAACAAAGAGAATGAGTTAATCAAGTATTTAACTTAGGTTTAATGTTACTGATTAAAACTTATACAGAACTGCTCTGTTAAGCTCCTTGGCAAAACTGAGTTTTAAACAGCAAAACTGCAAGAAACTTTAGCAGGATCCAAGTGGCTAGCTTTGTGGATTTCACAACGAAATCATGATAGCTTCTGAAAACATACTACTCCAAACATCTCTAGTAGCAGTCCAGTTCCTTATCTCCAAGCCATTCAATTCCAACAGACCTGCTATCTGCATTCCACATGTCTGAATATTTCTTCAATTCTGAGGTCCTTTGTCAGTCACTTCTACTGAGTAGAAATCAGCTTTTATCCCCATAGACATACTTTAAGTCTTTTATGACTAAGGATGTCATGAGGCCTGTTACAAAAAATCTACTTGAGAATATACAAGTAAACAGTAGGTCATCAAATAATCTAGACTAGATTTAGATGGTGAGGCTCCCTATACTAGAAAGCAGAGATGAATCTTGCTTAAGTGCTTTCCAAAACTCACATCATTTCTACAAGAATCCCTTCTAGTCTCTTCTAGGAAGAGAAACAATAGGTTACTGACAGGAAGATTACCATAAGGGAGTATCTTTTTTTCTCTGAGAAACTTATTCAAATGTAATTATTATGAAAAAATAAAGGACATCTGTCTTTCTGTAAAAAATGTGAGAAACCAGTACTAAGGAGGTTGAGGTAAACTTCTCCCAAACTTCTAAACCCAAAACCCACTTTTCTAAAGCAAAGAAAGAGTATTTTGACATTAAATTAAACTAAAATGGCAGCACCCTTTGTAACCTTAATATTTCATGTTCTTAATCCTATTTAGGAAAAAAAAGTGAGGAGGGTTCCTAGCATGAGCCTTGAATCCTGCTCAGTTCCTCAGCTCCTTATTTAGTGCAGTAATGTTCAGACTCTACTTAATTAATAAATATAGCAGCTACAGTATTACAAATGTCTGGTCTTCAATGCCAGTAACTTGATACTGTAATAAACGTAACATGTATTAGCACTTTACAAAGACACACTTACCATTCAGAAAAGACATTAAACTTCCAACTTTTCTTCAAAATTGATGTAAGATCAACTACACTTGTTTCTGGGACCAATATCTTAAAGTCAGACATATATTATAGAAAACAGCAGACCAAGATTAGCATTCATTATATAGTTATTGGGCAAGATAAAGAATTTAAGAGGTCACTGTGGAGTTTCATGACCATTAAATTCAAAACATTAAAAAACAACAACAACACAACACAAGAGATTGCGAATTCTACACTAGGAAGTACAATAACAGTAGAAAAAAATTTCAAGAACGTTTGTTTTTTGTCTTTGGGCCACACATGGCAGTGCCCAGGGCTTAATCTGACTCTGCACTCAGGAATCACTCCTGGCGGGGCTCAGAGGAACATATGGAATGCTGGGGATCGAACCCAAGGGTGGCTTCGTGCAAGGCAAGTGCCCCGCCCACTGTATAATCTCTCCGGTCCATCAAAAATGTTTTGATACAGATATTTATCTTAAAATTATAAGAAAATTTTTGGTAATTAACTTTGATATACCAACTTGTTAGTAAGCAAATCAGAAATACACAGTATTCTTTCTAATTAATCAGGTCTATAACCTAGTTGTGTCAAAACTTTTAAGAGTACCCTAGAAAAGAACTCATTTCAAAGGTGAAACACTACATTAAAAGGGCTTTCTTTTTGGTCACACCTGGTGATGCTCAGGAATTACTCCTGGCAGTGCTCAGAGGACCATATGGAATGCAGGGTATCGAACCCAGGTCAGCTGTGTGCAAGGCAAAATGCCTTACCCTCTGTACTATCACTCTGGCCCTCAAAAGGACTTTCTTTCTTTTTCCATAAAAGTCCTTCTAACTAGATTTGATTACGGCCCTTTCTCTAGGGCTTGTGAAACTAAGCAAGAGAAAATTAGGGAAAGTGGTAAATAAGGTGGGGAAAGGGCTCTTCCTGGGTCTCAGCATTCCCACACAAGCCCGCTCAATTCCCGTAAACAAAGAAAGAAATTATACTCATACTAAATAAAAAGTAACCAAATTTTCACCATCTAGAATATACTATTTTCTTTTCTTGCCCAGGATTATAACCATATTCAGTGAAAAAAAATTTTTTTGGCTTTTTGGGTCATACCCAGCATTGCTCAGGGGTTACTCCTGGTTCTGTATCCAGGAATTAACTCCTGGTGGTGCTCGGGGGACCATATGGGATGCTGGGGATCAAACCGGAGTTGGGCCATATTCAAGACAAATGCCCTACCCACTGTTCTATCACTCCGGCCCCCTCATATTCAGTGAAATTTGAAAGTAAAACAAAACCCGACAATTTTATAGGCATTTATGTAGTGTGTGCATGCATGTGTCTGTGTGTAGTATGTACTGTGTGTGCATGCATGTGCATCTGTGTAATGTGAATTGTGTCTGAATGCATGTTTTATGTGAAGTATGCAGCGTGTGCTGCATGTGTGGCTCTGTGTGGCATATACTTGTGGGTAAGAGGGCTGGAAGAAACCAAAGGGGAGGGTGGAGAGGAAAATGTGTACACTACACAAGTATCATCGCATGTAAAGAGCTCTGGAATAGTGTTGTCAACCGCATTTCAGACACTTCTATATAATAAACATACAAAATACAGTACTTTCTCATTTTTATGGCAGAGGGACAAAGATTTCATACCTGTTGGAGGACAGGGGCTCAGATTTTAGGCTCAAAATACAGTAAATTGGCAATGAGTGGATTACAGATAATAGAAACTAAAAAAATCACCATTCCTTTTCACATGCAGATATATTCTGAAAAGTCAGCAACAATGCCCACTGGAAACAATCTATAATATCTATGCTTTGAACTAGTGCAAAAAAGAAAAATTTAATGCAGTTTTTATGAGTTACAAAGTGCAAAGCTCTCCTAAATCCAATGTTACCAATGAAGTTGGTTTTGACAGCTTTATAGTACTTTTTAGTATCAGTAAAACTGATCAAAAGTTTTGCAAAACTTATCTTCTACATTTCTGTGACTTAACTCAAAGTTACTGACATTCTAACTTCTTTTGCCATCATCACCCTAATTTTAAAAGCAAAGTCACGCAGGTGATAACTGAAAAAACTGTTTTTAAAAATATCATTTTAAGGGCCAGGGATAAATCTCAAAAGGTTAGTGCATATGTAGAGCATGCAGAAATCCCCAGTTCTATCTCTAGTACCACAGGGTACCCCAAGCACTGCCAGTAGCCCTGAACTGGGAGCACTGGAAATAGCCCCTGAACACCTCTGGGTGAGGCCCCTAAACCAAAAAATAGAATCATTTTTATATCTTTCCGATTTATTTCAATACACAAAAATGGGTACTTAGCCACTATCAGCCTTCAATAAAAAATGATCTCTTTCCAAATAATTTAAATGTCCTCTTAATCTTAAGCTGTTCACTGTCAAAGTTCAACTTTATTTCTAATATTCCAAGTCAGACTCATTTAGGAAATTCAACTTCCTTCATTTTCATTATAATTTTTAAAAGGCATGCATTAAATTTGAAAATTACAAAACTTTCCTTCTGAAATTAAGGCTGTATTACTTTGCCCTTTTAAAATTAAAATTATAAAGGTGCCCGCTTCTCCCACTATCTGTGGCAAAGATGTCATAGAGACACCACTTTCCTTTAAAACTGCTTATTGCACCAAAAGATAGCAAAAACAACTGTCAGTTCTTAAAATAAACATGATTATATCTCTATAAAAATGTTGCAATACAATCCTATAATTATTAAAGCACTATTCTAATATATAGAAAAGAAAGCTAAACTTCAAAACATACATATATGTTTATATATATATACACATATATATAAAAATATATATATGAAAATCACATTAAGGTATGAGAGGCAGCAAGTAAACTAGGAAAGAAAAAAAAATGACAGGACCCCTCAAACAACCCCTTCTCTCTTTCTACCCAATTTGAGAGGCTGCCTGACTGTTCATTTAAAATATTTGCTGTTTATAAAAAAGCTTTAAGGGATTTCCATGTAGAAACAACAGAAACAGAAAGCTTTTGTGTACATAATACTTGTAGAGAGAAAGTATTACCACTACTGACAAGGTTTTATATTTATAGCAGCTTTAACTGAATAAAAGAATAAAGGAAAACAACAGGTCACTGCTATTTCTGTACACACCGTACACGGGGCGAATGTAACTTCAAAGCAGGTGGGGCAGACACATTCTCACGAAAACATCTATAGAAGATAATTCTGTTTCTTAAGAAAACATTATCAAGATTTTGGGACTCAGAATTGTCTATGAGAGAAGAGACAAGAGTAGGCTGTGAAAAATAAAAATAAAATTTTCCATGCTTCATATACAAATGAACCACATACATGAACACTGAAATGTCACTTGGGGGGGTAAATGTAGGTAATGTTGGCCAGGGAGGTAGAGAGAGAGAAAGGAAAGCGGTGGTGAGGGTACAGGGATAGGGACTAAAGTTCCCCCATTGGAATGCACATGAAATATATACACTGATACATATATATCTATTATCAACGTAGAAGCAGATATATATGCATATAAAGTATGTATATATTTAAAATATACTTTTGACAAGACATGAATCCACATTAATTTTTTTGCACACAGAGCTGTGAAAAATCACTTTGATTATTCACTGTAGGTGGGTTTTTTTTTAAACCATCAACTTTTTTTTGTTTTGTTTTTGTTTTTTTTTTGCAAAGATAGTTGTGCTGCCAAGCAACTTGAGGTAAAGGCATTGAAAGGATTAGACTATAAGAAAACGAAAACAGAACAATCGCAGTATTTCCTACAGGAGACTGCACAAAAAAGCAGTTGGCTGGTTTCATATTGCATAATGGTGCTGTTTTCCTTGATGAAGTAAACAATCGTACTTCTATCGGCACAAAGATCAGACCCGACCCCCGCACAGTGTTGGCTTCCGGATGGCTGGAGGCATCGCCCCTACCCCCCCAAACTGATTCCATGGGAAACACACGGTGAACGTTGCACATTGATGCATCTTCAGTTCTTCTGCTCAAAGCAAATTCTTGGACTTTTTAAGCAAAGTACATTGTGCGTAAGGTATCTTGGTGAATCTGTACAGCCTTGGCAAGAGCTTGTGGATCTCGACCATTGCTCTGTCCTGAAACGTGACTTCCTTCAGCACTGTAAGAGAAGTGTCAATGAACACAAAAAAACGAACCCTAGTCTAATGTAATAAAGATTAAAAATGTTACCTGTTGTAGGAAATTTCAAAAATATTAAAAAAAAAGAGGTCGGTATAATGTCTAGTACCCAGTATCAATAATAATCAAAGAGCCTCTAATTTTATATGCATCTCTCACTTTTACTACTCAAATTTTCTCCTTGAATTAACTGGATAAGGGAACTGGATCACTATATCATTACACTACCAGTAAATTTGCAGAGGCCTTTCAATGAGAACCCCATGTTAGTTCTATCACTGTTTTTCTTTTTCTTTTTGCTTTTTTGGGTCACACACGGCAATGCTCAGGGTTACTAATGGCTCTGTACTCAGGAATCACTCCTGGCGGTGCTCAGGGGACCATATGGGATGCTGGGAATCGAACCCGGGTCGGCAGCGTGCATGGCAAACGCCCGAGCCACTGTGCTATCGCTCCAGTCCCCTGACTATCACTGTTTTTCAAATGAAACAGTGGCAGTAACAGCTTGTGGAAACTAAATTCTAGACGGCAGCTATTTCTGGCAAACAGGCACATACTTACATGGGTACACTTAAAATTTCCCCATAAAAGCCTAGCACTCAGAACATACTTGGATTCTGGTAAGAAACTGTTATTTGCTGTAGTTTTATATTACCTGTCATGTTCTTTGTCCACAAGATGATATCTGGCTCTGAATGCCACCAGGTGAGCATAATAAGCTGGTGCAGGTATAGAAACAGATCGTGTACAGCGCACGTAGGTGTGGCAGAGCTGGTAAGTGAGCAGCTGAAGTTCATCTGCAGTAAAGCAGTTATCATCCCATAAAACGTGATAGTGTGAAGGGCGACTGGTACCCTACAAGAAAGCAATGGCAAATATTCTGTCGATTTCTAAACCTTTAAAGAAATATCCAGCAGACATGAAGTTATGTAAAAGCCAATATATTAATAAAATATAGTCTGATAACAGATTAAAAATTTTGTTTACTAGGGAACAGAATGTTTTTTAATGAACATTACTTTCATCAATTTAATCATGGGCTGGAGCGATAGCACAGCAGTAGGGCATTTGCCTTGTGCACAGCCAGCACTGCTGAGCCGGGTTTGATTCCTCCGCCCTTCTCGGAGAGCCTGGCAAGCTACCGAGAGTATCTTGCCCGCATGGCAAAGCCTGGCAAGCTACCCGTGACGTATTCGATATGCCATACACAGTAATAATAAGTCTCAAAATGGAGACGTTACTGGGCCTGCTCGAGCATTAATTAAATCAATTCATTAAATTAATTTAATTAATGCTCAGATTAAAAATAATTATGAATTATTTAACATCAATTATTAGTGCTCAGCTGTAGAGCACTTTTTTGTTTTTGGGCCACATCAGAAGATTTTCAGGAGTTACTCCTGGCTCTGCACTCAAGAACCACTCCTGAAGGTGCTCAGAGGCCCATATGGGGTGCTAGGGACTGAACCCAGGTTCGCCACATGCAAGCAAATGCCCTACTTTTTGCACCTATCGCTCCGACCCCTAAACCCCTGTAGAGCACCTTTTAAATTAACCCTCCCCCTCCTTTTTTTGGGGTCCATACTCCGTACTGCTCAGGGCTTACTCCTGGCTCTGTGCTCAGGGGACCATATGGGGTGCAGAGGATCAAACTGGGGTTGGCTACCTGCAAGGCAAGTGCCTTACTCCTCTATATTATCTTTCTAGCCCAATACTTGTACAAATTTATAAATAAGTATTTCTTTTTTTTTTTTTTGCGGGGCGTGGTAGACAGTTTGTGTTGCCTGGGTTAACCTCCTAGGCTCTGCACTCAGGAATTACTATTGGTGGTGCTCTGGGATCAAACCTGGCTTGGCCACATGCAAGGCAAGCGCCCTACCTGCTGTTCTCAGGCCCCTAAACTATACGTTTCTGAGATTACTTCATGTCTCCTTCAATGAGCTAAGAGAAAGAGGCCATGTTACATCCTATCATAATAGGATATTATGTGTTACACAATAAAAATCTGTTGATTGCATGAGTAGCCTATTTCTTGTAGTCCCGTGGGAGAGAAGAGGGACAAAGGCATGCTTAAAATGCTGCTTAATAAGTACAAAAAGGAGGTATGCCCAGAGTGCAGGGGAGGGCTACTGGTCTTAGGGAAGGACATTAGAAAGACGAGCCTGTGAACAGAAATTAGGGACAGAATACTGGAGACAAGAAAGATGCATGGACAGCGGAGTTACGCGAATTACTCGAGGATGAGTGGCTGCGGCTGTTGTGCATATTTGCCGGTACGAATGTTAAGTTAAATTAAGAAACCAGTTTAGGGAAATTAATTCCATCAAATTATCATCTTCTTTCAGAAAAGTGCTTCTTTAACATAAGGAAAAGAAATATTTATGGAAAATTTTATCTAATTTCATATGGAAGAAGTTCAGGGAAAAGTCTATTTTTGCCTCTTTTATGAAAATTTGAAAGACACACACAAGAATGGACATTCTTTGGGGGTGGGAGGGAACCTGAGGACACTGGTGGAGGAAAGTTAACACTGGCAGCAGGACTGGTGCTGGAACATAGTATGCCTAAAACTCAATTATGGACAACTTTGTAAACATGATAAATAAAAAAGATTAAAAGGCCCTCCCATTGATCGTCGATTTGCTCGAGCGGGCCCAGTAACGTCTCCATTGGAGACTTTGTTGTTACTGTGTCTGGCATATCGAATACTCTCGGTAGCTTGCCGGGCTCTCCGAGGGGGGCGGAGGAATCGAACTCGGGTCGGCCATGTTGGCCGCTTGTAAGGCGAACGCCCTACCCACTGTGCTATTGCTCCAGCCCTTAAAAAAAGAATAAAACTACATGCATAGTTTAGTATCCTTTTAATTTTTTTTAAACAAAGCTTTACATTGTTTTATCTCCTATCCCATGTCAGGAAAAACAAACTTTTGATTAAAAAAAAATAACAATGGACATACTTGAATTAAACCATTTCATGCAAAGTATAGGCTTACCTGTATTCCGGCATGGCTACAGAGGTAAAAGTCAAACTCATATGGGTGAGTGATATCTGTATCAACTGTGGTTCCAGCCGGGATATTCCCACTTCTTCCGACCTGGATTTGTTTGGTCAAAGGGTAAACAAACAAGACAGAGGTAAAGAATGTGTGTGAAAGTACCTTGAAAGTAATCATATAGGCTCATCATAAAGTAATCATATAGGCTCATCTCAGGGGATCAGGTGCTGTCAGGAACTGAACCTGGGTCTCCTGCATGCAAAATGTGCCCCAACTACTGAGCTGTCTTTCCCACACTGGTAATAAATTTTAAAATGCATATATAGGGGCCAGAATGATAGTACAGCAGGTAGAGCATTTGCCTTGCATGTAACAGACCCAGGTTTGATCGCTGGCATCCTAGATGGACCCCCGAGCCTGAAAGGAGTGATCCCTGAGCCCAGAGTCAGGAGTAAGCCCTGAGCACTGCTGGGTGTGGCTCCAAACCAAACCAAACAGAATAAACAAAAAGAGCACATTATTTTACTAACTCAAGCACTTATTTTGGCGTGAGTGGCACTGTTACTAGATGGTAGCTTGAGTTATCATCGTGTGAACCAACTAGCTAGGCTCCACTGAGCACTATTCATAATCTACTAAAGCATGCTTATTTTCACATACTATTTTATTTTAATTATTTTTTGCAGAGCCAGAAATCAAACCCAGGTCCCATATATGCATGGCACGTATTTTACTACTGAGCCAAGTGTGCTTATTTTTAACACAGAAATCTCCTAATTCATAGAAAACGGTTTACTTGCAAAACAAAAAAAAATAACTAGGGGTTGAAGAGATAGTTCAGTGGGTAGGGCACCTGCCTTGCACTTAGCCAGCTGACCTGGGTTTGATTCCCACCAGGAGTAATTTTATAGTGCAGAGCCAGGAGTTAACCTTGAGCAATGCTGGGTGTGGCCCCAAACCAAGCCAAATCAAACCAAAACCCCAAAACCATTAAAAATGGGGAGAGGAGGGACCGGGAGATAGTACAGCAAGTAGGGCATTTGCCTTTATGGTGGCTGACCTGAGTTTGATTCCTGGCCCCCTGAGCCCTGACAAGGATGAGCACAGCAAGAGTAAGCCCTGAACACCGTTGGGTATGGTGAAAAACAAAAACCAAGACAAAACAAAACAAAACAAAAAACGAGGGGAATAAAAAGGAACAGATATCCTATAACACCAATTCCACTCCTGGGTATCTCCCCCCAAAATGCAAAAACATTAATCTGAAACAGATTAAACACCTGGGTTTATCACTATGCTATTTACAACAGCCAAAATCTGGAAACAACCCAAGTGCTCAATACAGGGGTGAGAATTGTGGTCTAGATAGACAATGAAATTCTACTCAGCTATGAGAAAAGATGAAATCTTGCTGTTTGCCTCAACTTGGATAGAACTGAAGGAAGTCATGCTGAGTGAAATGAGTCAGAAAGAAAAAGACAAATGCCAGATGATCTCACTTGTATGTGCAGTATAAAGAAAACAAAGCCAGGGATTAGATGAACCCCAATGAGGACAACCATGAGACAAGGTCAGTGACTGCTGGGAGCCTGGGAGGGTAGGACTATGGGCTAATGGCCATGGTCCTGGCATTCTTTGGCAGACATGCTGTTGCTGCAGTACTGCAATTGTGGTGCATGTGTATACATGCTGTGTGTGTGTGTATGTGTATAAAAGGGTCCTGGACACACTGGTGATGGTGAATGTATAGTAACTATACATCAAAACCATAAATGTTAACACTATTAAAACATGCTGTCTAAATTACTAAGACGTTACTGGTGCCTGTTCAAGAAAATCGACAAACAACAGGATGACAGAGATACAGTGAGTGTCTAAATTGCAAAAAAAAAAAAAAAAAAAAAAAAAAAACCCAAAAAACCAGAACACCCTTCTCCACACATTAATTTGGAAAAAGAAATGTTTTCACTCTGATTAGAGACACAGCAAAATGTATAGGTTCATACCACAGCCGAACCAGTTTCTGAGTGTGTGACTCTGGTTATTAATTATCTCCCATCTATGACAAAAGCGAGACATGAATGAAGGACTGCTTTGACTAAATGGAGATGTAAAGAATTTGTATAGAACTTAGGAGGCTGGGGATGTGGCTGGGTAGAAGGGCACATGCCTTGCATCCCTGACACTGAAAGAAAAACAAAAGAAATTCATCTTTGATTTTCCTAATTCTACTTTTAAAGAAACCTTTGTTTTTTCAGGTACATTTTCTATAGAACCATACCTAGAATTTGGTTTCAAAGATTTGGGATCAAAGGCCTTTAACAACCTGGAGGCCAGAACAAAACTGGCTCTTCTGTTTGTTATTGGAGAGGCAGGTGGAACAGTGACCAGCAGCTGCAGCCAGACTGTTCAGGCAGCCTTCCAGCTCTCCCCATTACTAATGTCTTTATGTCAGTTTCCTTCTGTGAAAAATGGGGGTAGCTACAAATATTGCGTGCTGCCGCTTGTGAGAATTATGAGTTCAGTTTATTAAAATCCCTCCACCAAATGCCTGCCACCATTGCTCTTATTATTTCTCTGTCTCTGTTATTGTCACCATCACCTCCACTCTATAACCTGCTAACCTTTATTTCTCAAGTGCTCAGGAGGTGTCAGGCACCATTTAAAGTAAATGATGTACTTTAACACACTAAATTCTCTCAACATTCTAAATACAACGGGAATATATCCAAATCATGAGGAGAAAGAAAACAGGCACAGAAATGTTGAATATCCAGGATTAGATAGGGAGTATAAGCAAAGAATAAATCCTAGGGCCGGAGTGATAGTATAGCAGGTAGGGCATTTGTCTAGCATGCTGCCTACTTGGGTTTGACACCCTCACTCCATATGGTCTCTTGAGCCTGACAGGAGTGATCGCTAAGTGCAGAGCCAGGAGTAAGCCCTGGGCACTGCCAGGTGCGGCTCCCAAACAAAAACAAAACAAAAGAATAAAGAAAGACAAAAATACCAAAGAAGAGACACTTGCTTCTCTTCACTGTTCTACTGAACCTCTTTCAGGAGATACTGGCTAGCAGCTCTCTCTTCTGGAGGTAAAGAACGAAGGGAGAGTCCTAGAAACGACCTGCACACTTCTTGCCTGTTTTGCATGAACAAGCAGATGTATCTGTCCAGTTATCTATACTTTCTTCACCTTTATAACTATAAAAAGTACATCTTTGCATTATAAAGCACAGAAAAGGGGCAGGGTCGTGAGTTTAAACCCTGGCATGGCCCCCATAAGCACTGCTGCCGGGTGTAGCCCTGAACACCACGGTCTTTGATGGAAGTGGCTGGAGTATTGCTTGGGAAGCCCCATTACCATCTCCTCAACTCTCCCACCCTCCAAAAAACACTGAAAACCATTGCTCTGACACACCTTAGGATTTTATTTATTTTTAATTATTTTTTGTTTTTGGGCCTCACCTGGTAGTGCTCAGGGCTTACTCATGACACTGCACTCAGGGATCACTCCTGAGCAAGGCAAAAGCCATGAGCCCTGCCCACTATACTATCTCTCCAGGTCTCTACCCTAGCTTTAAAAAAATTATTATCACTATTTTTAACTGTAGTTTAGATAATACAATTACAACAGAGCTAATTTTTATGGTCTAGATGGAAAAAATATATTTTTTGTTTGTTTTTTGGAGCTCACCCAGTGTGCTCTGCACTCATTGCTGGTTCTCTGCTCAAGGATCACTCTTGGCAGAGCTTGGAGGACCATATGGAGTACTGGGGATCAAACCTGGTCAGCCACATGTAAGGCAAGTGCCTACTGCTGTACTATTGCTCTGGCCTCCCAAAGGAAAAAAATTTTAAAATAGAGGATGCAGGGTCAAAGAGAAGGCTCCCAGGGTTGAGTCCTGTGCATTCAGGAGCCCTGGGTTTTACCCCCTCTTCTGGGTGCTCCAAGAACCTCATAACTGCTTAGAATAACTATAAAAACAGAAAAAAAAGTGATTTTTTTAAACATTTAAGGAAAATAGGAATAAAAATAACAATTTTAAAACTTTGAGATTCTTTATAACAAAAACTATGAGTTTTTGAACATGTTGAATGTAATTAGAAACTCTAGCGAGTTACCAAGTAATAAACTTATTTTATAGACTTATAATCTAATTCACTGAAATCTGCCACCATCTAACCCTGCTGTCAGCAGTAGAGCCCTTGCTAAGTGGCTCGGTGATCCACGTTACTAAAGCCTAACAGTATTACAGCAGACGCAAGATTACCCTTTCTGTCCTATCGGCACAAAATAATCGAGTGTGATGCCTCTTCTGAACTACAATGTAGGTTATTCCAGGTTGATAGTCTTTCTCCAAACTGATGCAGGCTTCTCGAATTGCTAGTAGTTCATAATATAAAACCTAGAGATGAGGAAATGGAAATATTTATACAATCAGCTCTTGTCTTATACATACTTCAAAGAAGGGTTTAGGGAAACACAGGGTGCTGGGGATCGAACCCTAGTTTGTTGCGTGCAAGGCAAGTACTTTGCCCGCTCTACTATCACTTCAGTCCTTCACTTATTTCTTTTTTGTATTTCCTAATCCTATTGCATTATAGCTAACTACACGACTCTATCCTGTATTTTCAGAGTGCAGTCAACTGGGCAAATAGATTGAAAGGGAAAAACGCAAGGAAACATTTAGAAACTTCAGAATTAGATACCAGATTAGAAGTGTGGTATAATGATGTGTGAGATTCCTAGGTTACCAACCTGCCTGAATTGTCCCTCTGACACACCATCCCTATAGAAGATGATGCGCGTAGGTTTGAAGCGAGTTGACTTATAAAACTGAATGAGCAGCTCTCGGACCATGGAAGCCAGATCCTGGATGATCTCCTGTCGGGGTCTCTGAACTCTGACGGTGGCACAGTATCTGCTGGGGTGGGCATCCATACTACCTACAACCTAGGTTAGAAAAAGCAGAGTATATCATTAAGATAAAACTACTGGAATATACATTATACTGCAAGTGAAAAAATTGAAAAGACCATAGACTTCATTTAGTATCTTTGCATTTTACTATAACCTTATTATCCCTATTCATTCCCAGTGGAGAATGAGAAAAGGCCTCCTAATCAATTAAAATAATTTAAAAAATGATCAGGTAAAGGTAAAGGCCCTCCCGTTGATCATCGATTTGCTCGAGCGGGCCCAATAACGTCTCCATTGGAGACTTTGTTGTTACTGTGTTTGGCATATCGAATACGTCACGGGGAGCTTGCCAGGCTCTGCCGTGCGGGTGAGATACTCTCGGTAGCTTGCCGGACTCTCCGAGAGGGGCGGAAGAATCGAACTCGGGTTGGCCATGTTGGCTGCGTGCAAGGCAAACGCCCTACCAGCTGTGCTATCGCTCCAGCCCCTTTTTTACCTTACTTTTACCTTACCTTAAAAAAATGATCAAGAGTTATTTTTTCTATAAGCAGGATCTTTACATTCACACAGATTCTGAGTATGGATACTGTTAATAAACCTCAAGAATAGCATGAAAAGAGATCAAAAGACATTCATATAAAAAGAAACAGAGAAAAGAGACAAGTAAAACAGATGAACAAATCCTTGAAACCCTTGTTTTCTCTTTATATTTTTTACTAAATCGTCTCTGAAGCCATCCTTAAGACATCTTGTTTTTTTGACCACATCTGGCAGTGCCCAGACTGAGCGATCACTCCTGGCAGGGCTTGGGGGACCATATGTGGTGTTGGGGATCGAACCTGGGTCAGCTATGTGTAAGGCAAGTACCCTAACTGCTGTACTATTGCTCAGGCCCCATTATGTAATTTTATTGCAGTGTCTTAGACCAGAAGGTTGAAACCTTGAGAAAATTTTACTGCATTGTATTTGTGATCTACCTTTGATTTGTATGTAAGTTAAACCTGGTTTTGAGGAGTTTTATCTTCCAACGTTTCTCTTTCTGTGTCTTGTTATGTTTGGAGCAGTGGAAACTTTGGAGTACAACAAAATTCACTGAGTTCACCCGCTGAAGTATTATCTCTGGAATACCAACGTGGGGGCAGGGGGTGTTTGGCGACACTCAGCGGTGCTCAGGGGCTACTTCTGTCCCTATGCCAACTGGTTAGTAGTGGTGTGTGGGGGGAACCAAATGTGGTTCCAGGGGTCAAACTGGGAATTGGTCACATGCAAGGCAAATGCCTTAGCACCACTATCTCTTCAGTCTCCCAAATACTCTTAAAAAGTATCGGCATATTATTCTGATAAAAGCCTTGGGTGGAAAACCAGTTGGTCTCTTCCTTTGCTTCTTTTTATCCCAGGCTAAAATCGTGCTTCAGAAATGGAATTCTGGGACTCTGAGGCAGAAGAGAACATACATAGGTTAAGGAACTGCATTGTTTGTGCCTTGCAATTCCTGTCACTGCATGATCTTCTGAGCACTAGCACAAGTGATTTCTGAGCACAGAGTTGGGAGTAGCCCCTGAGCACCACTGGTGTAGCCATCCTGTAGCTTTTCCAAACTCTTCCCCCTCCTCTCCCCTGCAAACAGAATTCTGGCTGGAGAGAAAGCTCAAAAGGGCCCAGTGCACATGCTTTGGGCATTGTAGGCTGGGGTTTGATCTCAAGCGCCACTGGGAGCAACTCCTGAACCCTAAGTTGGGAGGAGCCTCTGAGCACTGCTAAGTGTGCCCCAAACCCTCCCTCCAAGTTATCCCAATCCCAGGCTAGGGATTTGGCTCAAGTGGTAGAACACAGAGCTTACATGTGGCGGGGGCCGGGCCGGGGCCGGGGGAGGGTGTCTGCTGCTTGATCCCTGATATTGTATGGTCTCCCCTCCCCCTGCCCCCAGCACTGCCAGATGTGGCCCTGAGCAATGTAGGGTGTTTTATTATAACAGAGATACAAAAAAAAAATGCTGGTTGAGAATGCTTACAATGGGCGAGATAAAGAAAAAGAGAGAGAGAAGAGATGTGCCTGCCATAGAGGCAGGTGGGGGTGGGGGGTGATTTGGGGGGAGGAAAACTGGGGACACCGTTGCTGGGAAATGATACTGGTGGAGGGATGGGTGTTGGAATATTGTAGGACTGAAACCCAATCACAAACAGCTTTGTAATGCTCTATCTCACGATGATTCAGTAACTTACAAAATTTGAAAGAAAAAAAGATATGGTGGGAATTATACATACAGAGGGGACTGACTATGAACTCATATGTGAAATTTTGACTGCAAGGATAGATGGGTGGTATCCTTCACCACCACAATGGCCAGGGGTCAAATGAGTTTAGAACTTACAGCTGCCAAACCAGAGAAAAATCATCTTAACACACACACACACACACACACACTGGAAAGCTGGGCCTCCATAAACACATTTATGAAAGTCAGTTTCAGAGGAAATATAAAAGTTTAAAAAACTGGAATCAAACACTGCTGTCCACACTTTACACAAGCTAAATCTGACCAATGACACTCACAGCAGCAATGGAAGGCTTCTTCCCATCACCAGCGGGTGGATGAGTGACATCTGCTCCTAAAAATATCACTGGTTGCTGGAACACAGAAGGTCTTAAACACATTTTTAAAAAGAGTTAGAGAATTCATGTTTCTCATTATTCACTTATCTATTTCATACTACTGCAATACAACCACAAGTTGTGGACACAGCACAGAAGGCCTTTGTAAACAGATTCGTAGGCCTGACTTCCTGATAGTTTTAACTCTCTTGATTTATGATTCACTCAACAGTAAAGTAAAAGCTGCCATAATAGTCTATTCAATCTAATTCTGAGCAGTTTTTTGCCTTTAGCACAGGTGTTGGTGACTGCAAAGGCAACTTGCTAGAGCTCTTCCTAGTAAGGATGATATGATAAACTTTTTCATAGTAACCCACCAACATACATCAGTTTTTCTTTAACCCATTTACATTTTAAGCCCATAGAATCTCTCAAAGAGAAATTATACTGGAAGGGATTAGGGGTTTTATTATTGCTGCTCTGGGGATCAAACCCAGGGCCTTATGGGTATAGCTTGCTGAAGATCATCCCTGACCTGTAAGTGATTATGAGAGTGACCATTGCCTGTCCCTGGCCCAAAGCATAAATTGGGGTAAAATATATTTAATAGTCATAAAGTTGTTAGTAGCTCATTTTTATTTTAAACTATATCCCAAGCTGGATAAACAGTACAGTGGGTAAGGCATGTGCCTTGCCTGTACCTGACGCAGATTCAATTCCCAGCACTCCAAATGGTCCCCCTAGGACCATGAGTGATCGCTGAGCACAAAGCCAGGAGTAAGCCCTGATCACTGCCTGGTGTGACTCCAAAAAACAGAAACAAAAAACCAAGGGAAACATGTAGTTCAATTATCTAAATTACAGTCTCTTTCCCTGGCTCTAGGTCTCAATGCCTCATATTTCCAAGTATTCTAGATGGGACACTGACCCGAGGGGAACTGCTGCCCTGCTGCCTGCAGCGCAGGGATAACTGACACTGATGTACCTCCTGCTCCCACCCCTCCTTTCATTTTTCTTGCTGTAGCGGGTAGGGTGTTTGCCTTGCATGCGGCTGACCCCTCTTGGAGAGCCTGGCAAGCTACCGAGAGTATCTTGCCCGCATGGCAAAGCCTGGCAAGCTACCCGTGATGTATTCAGTATGTCAAAAACAGTAACAACAAGTCTCACAATTTGTTGTGAGACGTTACTGGTGCCTGCTTGAGCAAATCGATGAACAACAGGATGACAGTGCTACAGTGCTACTTTGTTGGGGGAATATACCTGGCAGTGCCCATGGCTTACTTCGGGCTCTGTGCTCAAGAGTTCACTACTGGAGGTGCTCAGGGGAACAGGATGTGGTCTGGAGATCAAACCGAATTGGCTGCATGCAAGGCAAGTACCTTAACCTCTCTGTAATGTTTCTCACCCCACTTCTTTCCTCACTTTCTAGGAGTGTGGCTGATGACAGCAGGTGGGAGATGACTATCAAATGAGAGTATTCTTTAAGAGAAGTGAGAAATCAATCAAACTCCCAGCATTTTCTGGGGATCCATCCTTCCTTCCCAGCTCCTTCCTGCCCTTCCTTCCTTCCCCTTTCTCTTTCCTTCTCTCTTTCTCTTCCTCTTTCCCCACTCCCTTTTTTGGGTCAGACGCCCATCCATATCCCCTGTAGTGTTTAAAGCTTACTCCTGGTTTGGCACTCCTGGTGGGGCTGGGAGACCACCTGGAGCATCGGATGCATGCCAGGTAAATATCCCACCTAATGAACTATTGCTCCAGTCCAGTGGGGGATTTCTTAAAGGGAATTTCAATCTTGCTATCCTAAGCTCTTTTCATCTTTTGACAGAATGTTCACTTAGCTTCCATGACAGGCATCATTGAAGCTGTTTCTTACACAGACCTCAGGGCAATATATAAAAAAACTGCACTGTACTGTAGCACTGTCCTCCCGTTGTTCATTGATTTGCTCGAGTGGACCCAGTAACGTCTCCATTTTGAGACTTCTTGTTACTGTGTTTGGCATATTGAATATGTCACGGGTAGCTAAACTAAGGTACAAAAAAAGAAAAAAATTTTTTTCCTTTTTGGGCTACACCCAGTGATACTCAGGGTTAATTCCTGGCTCTGAGCTCAGGAGTCAGTCCTGGCAGAGCTCAGGAAACCATATGGATGGTGGGGATAGAACCAGCATCAGTCATATGGAGGCAAGAACCCTACCCACTGTACTATCTCTAGCCTTTAACAGGTATTTTATACAGTGATTAGCTTGGCTTACCTTTGATGAGGTACAAGAATATTATTAATCCCTCCAAGTTTAACATTTATCTTTAGGCACAGGTTTGAGAGAGTCTGAGGAGAAGTTTTTATTACATTCTTGACTTGGACACACTGGGTCGCCATCCCCAAAAGTGTGTCTCCTACACGTTTCACTTCCGCTGTGGAACAAATGCAAATAAGTGACTTTAGTTGGAAAAAATGGCAAGCTTTACTGAGAACTGAGCTACATTGCCCATCCTGAAATACATTACTGCATTATTTAAATAATTTAATTATTATTTCTTTAACATTTTGAAGAAATGACTTCTTGAGCTGCAAGAAGACTTGGAGGAACCTGAAATAAATATTGCTATGAGAAACAAGCTAATGAGAAAAGGGAGCACACCACAGGACTCTAACCACACAATGTCTTTTGAAGGGTAAAACTAGAGACATGAAACACTGGCAGCTGTGAGGGGTCTGAGGGAGAACAGATTAGGAGGAGGATCAAAGGGGATTTTATTATTTTTTATCATTATTTTGGTTTTGGGGCCACACCTGGCAGTTCTTGGGGATTACTCCTGACTCTGTGCTCAGGAATCACTCCTGGCTGGGCTCCTAAGTGGTGCTGGATATAGAACCCAGATTGGCTGTGTGAAAGGCAAGTGCCTTAGTCTCTGTACTCTTTCTAGCTCCTGACTCTCTTATTGTATTTTTTGTTTTTTAGGCCACACCCAGCGATGCCACTCCTGGCTCTGCATGCAGGAAGTATCCTGGTGGTGCTCAGGGGACTCTCTGGGATGCTGGGAGTTGAACCTTGATGCATGCAAGGAAAATACCCTACTTGCTCCACTGTCTATGGCCCTCCTGACTCATTTTTTTCTTTTTAAACTTAGCAGTTTTTTAGTCTCACAGATAATTTAAAAAATCTTGCTCCCAGAGATTTTCCTATATTATGAATTATTTCTCTTATCACACATTTTTGTGGGGGTCAAAGGAGAGAGTTTAGTAGGTTAGACACTGATTTGCAAGTGCAAGTCACAAACTCAGTCCTGAGTGCTGCAGCATGCACTGTGTGGGTCTGGCAGCTCTGGCATCTGTAATCCCTGAAGCCACAAGCTGTTTCTGCCCACACAGCACCCAGATGTGTGTGAGCACCAACACTCAAGGAGTGTGATCCCCAGTGTGCACCACTGTGAGATGTGAGAGCCACGGTCAGAAAGGTGCTGACCTCCGGTGAGCACTGTAACAAGAATGTGCAGGAGCGCCAGAACTAAGGAGTGGGACCCTGAACCTGAAGCACAGGGCTGCAAAGACCACAGCTGCAGCAAAAGAGACCCTCAGTGAACAACAAGGGTTGAGCACCACAGCCAGTTGTGTGTTAACACCGGTCACTTTACCAGTGACTACAACAGTGGGAACAAAAGGGGGTGTGGGGAACCAACAAAAAAGCTGCATTTTCTGGAAATCCTAAAATGCAAACAAAGAACACATCTGTTTGTTTTGTTTTCATGCCACACCCAGAAGTGCTTAGAGGAACACGAGGTATCAGGAATTGAACCTGAGTCTCCCACGTGCAGAACATCGCTCAGCCCATATACTTTCTCCAGCCCCTGAACACGTTATTTTTGACACAAAGGACACTGTCAATTTATAATGTCCTCAGCAATGTATTAAAACATGAAATTCACTATATACTTGCAAGCAATAGATATTAAAAATGTTTACATATTTGTTACTTTAATTGCATACAATTTTTTTCCTTGTTTAAATTTGGACTTTTCACTAGGTTTTTGTGAAAATTGACATTTTCTTTATATACTTATTTTGTACTTGGGAAATTTTGGTTTATATTCTTTGCTCATTCTAAAAAAATATTAACTTTCCCTTTGTTGTCTCCTTTATAAAGTATTTATCCTTATATTGAGTTTCTTTTAATCTTAGTTACATCTTAGTGACGTACATAAAATTTAATTTTTATATAGTCAAATCTAGCCACTTAAAAGACTATACTTTATCACTAATTTGAAAGATTAGGACTGGAGAGAGAATACAGAAGGTACCGTGCTTGCCTTACACATGGCCACCTCAGGTTTAATCCCTGGAATCCCAAATGGTCCCCTGAGCACTGTGAGGAATGATCCCTGAGTGCAGAGCCAGGAGTAACCCGAGTATCACAGGTCACTGTCCTCCCGTTGTTCATGGATTTGCTCAAGCGGGCCCAGTAACGTCTCCATTGTGACAATTGTTACTGTGTTTGGCATATCGAATACGTCACAGGTAGCTTGCCAGGCTTTGCCGTGCGGGCGAGATACTCTTGGTAGCTTGCCGGGCTCTCTGAGTCGGGCGGAGGAATTGAACTTGGCTTGGCCATGTTGGCCGCTTGCAAGGCAAACGCCCTACCCGCTGTGCTATGACCAATAATCAAAAATAGAAAAACTACTTTCTTTTTTGTTCATTTTCTAAAAAAGTTTTTGGGTCACACTCAGGGATGCTCAGGGATTCCTGGTTCTTCCCTCAAGGATCACTTCTGGTAGTGCTTGGGGAAACATACAGGGTGCTAGCGATCAAACCTGGGCCTACAACATGCAAGGCAAGCACCCTGCCTTCTGTACTATCTCTTCCTCCCTGAAAAATTGTACTTTTGTGTTTTTCCATTGAGTCAATTATTTATATTCAACTTAGTGAGCTCATAAAACTTTGTAATTTGTTTACAACAATAACAATTAACATTAATGGACGGACGTAAGACATGTGTTATTCTAGGCCCTATTTATAGAGAGAAAATTATTTAATCCCTACAACCCACGTGCATGGAATAGATATTATTAGTATTCCAGTTTTACAGTTGAGGACTCAAATGTGTAGTGTAGTTGCGTATTTAGCTAGATAACACAAGTACAGCTGGGAACACACGGAATGCCAGTGCCCATTTTTACTACTGTGTTATTATACAGAGAGTCAAACGGTGTCAATATCATATTTGATTCTGTTTTGGTTTGTTTTGGGGCCACACTAGCAGTGCTCAGGGCTTATTCCTGTCTCTGCACTCTAAGATCACTCCCAATGGGACTCAGGGTATCATATGTGGTGCTGGGGGTTGAACCAGAGTTGGTTTGAGCAAGGCAAGCACTTTACCAACCGAACCGTTGAGGTTATGATTAACTATCATTTTGTAATGACTTTTTTGTTTTGTTTCTGGCCCACAGCTGGTGGTAGTGCTAAGGGTTTGCTCCTGACTCTGTGCTTAGGGATCATTCCTCGTGGGGCTCAGGGGACCACATAATATGTCAGAGATTGAACCCAGGTAGGCTGCGTGTAAGGAAAATGCACTACTCACTGTACTATCACTCTATCCCCTATAATTTCTTCTTCTTCTTCTTTTTATGAAGTAAAAGAAGATTTTATTTGGGTTTTTTTAGGAAGGGGAAGGAGGGAGAGAAAGAGAGAGAGCAATGTGCTTAAGAGAAAATGTGGGCTTCTCTAAAGGTAGAGAGAGCGCCTACACACATCCCAGCATTAGATATGAAAGCATGAAAGTACACATCTCAAGAGGGGAGACGCGGGTACCACATGTGCTTGGGTGCCAGATGTGCTCGGCCATGGGGGCACAAGCAGCACATGGGCTCTGGCAGCATATTGTAATATCTTCTTTAACTATCAAAATTCCTTTTACACTGTTTCTTTTTGGACAATTTATTCATTGAAGTTCCCTTCTTCTTTCCCTCCCTCCCTCCTTCCTTCTTTCCTTCCTTCCTTTTTGAATCACCATGAATTACAAAGTTAGAAAGTTATTCATGATTGAAGTTCAGGTGCACAATGTTCTAAGACCAACCCTTTCACTGGTGTCCACTTCCCTCTACCAATGTTTCCAGTAGTTCACTGTTTTCTTAAAGTAACCAATACATGTTCCTTTATAATATATGTAACAATACATATTACAAATATTACAATTAAGGTGGGCTGGAGCCATAGCACAGCTGGTAGGGCGTTTGCCTTACACGCAGCCAACATGGCCAACCTCAGTTCGATTCCTCCGCCCCTCTCGGAGAGCCTGGCAAGCTACCGAGAGTATCTCGCCTGCATGGCAAAGCCTGGCAAGCTACCTTGATGTATTCGATATGCTAAACACAGTAACAAGTCTCACAATGTTACTGGATCCGCTGAAGCAAATCGATGAACAACTGGAGGACCGTGACTGTGACCGTTATAATTAAGGTACTATGATTGGTCTGAGCAAAATTCTACAAGGAAATACCTGAGGAAGAAAGTGCTCTTAAGATATCTTACCATGGAACTGGAGCAATAGCACAGTGGGTAGGGTGCTTGCCTTGCATGCGACCAACCCAGGTTTGATTCCCAGCATCCCATATGGTCCCCTGAGCACTGTCAGGGGTAATTCCTGAGTGCAGAGCCAGGAGTAATCCCTGTGCATCACTGGGTGTGACCCAAAAAGCAAAAAAGAAAGAAAGAAAAAAAAAGATATCTTACCATACACTGGTGTCTTTCCTGGCAGGATGACAATGATGAGCTGCAGCCCAGAGTAAGTGTTTTTGAGATGCCGGAACATGGGCTCCACGCTGTCTGCACCTTGTGCGTACTTGCAGAAGCAAGGTTGGCCCTGGATGGGCATGCCTGCATCTTTAGAAATCTTACGCAGCTGGTCTGTGAAACCCCTAGAAGGAGAAATCACTGAAAATAAAACCCATGTCTAGTCATCAACACCTACAAAGAATTTGTGGAAAGTTTGGGAAGGAAAGGAAGCACAGACTTCTGTGCGCTGCATGAGAATGAAGCCAATGTCTGTGTGATCCACATATAAAGAGGCCACCAGATTCGGTTTCTTTTTTTTTTTTTTTTGGCTTTTTGGGTCACACCGGGTGATATTCAGGGATTACTCCTGGCTCTGCACTCAGGAATTACTCCTGGCTGTGCTCAGGAACCATATGGGATGCTTGGAACCAAACCTGAGTTGGTCATGTGCAAGGCAAACGCACTAACCGCTGTACTATCACTCCAGCCCCTGCCGCCAGACTTGAAGGAGAGGTAAAGGTGGTGAAAAATCTATTCTGCAAATACTGAACTTTGTGGTATAGTTATCTGGCATTTTCTAGTTTACAACCAATGTCAAGAACAGAGTATGATAGCTAAGATCTTTAGCTCTAGAGCTAGCAAGACAGGTTCCAATTCAAGTTTTCTACTAACTGTACACTGTAGGCAATTCACTGCCCAATGCCCTCATTTCCTTTATCTTTTTTTGATTACTTTTTTTTTAATTGATTACTTCCATTATAGTGTAGATACGAAGATTGAATGAGATAAAAATGTAAAGCACTTGAGATCTGGTAAACCCTTCATAAATTTTCACTGCTGTACATTTTCTAATTTGATCCTGACAGGAATCAGGAAAAAGTGAAAGGTCAGGATATTATTCTCAATATACAGAGCAGGAAAAAGTACCAAATTATTAAGTATTTCACCAATTTCAAATGCCTAGATACATGGCAGAGTAGTACTCTGACCTAGTCTTTCCACAATATTACCTCTTCAAACTAGGGCAGCAGGACTGGAGAGATAGTAGGTGGGAAGGTGCTGGCCTTGCATGTAGCTAGTCCTGGTTCAGTCCCCAGTATAGCACAGTCCTGCACCCATCATAGGAGTGACCAAAGAGCACAGAGACACGACTAGCCTCTGAACACACTGGGTGTGACCCATGCCCTCCCCGCCACCCCCGTCAAAAGAAAAACCAGGATAGCAGTAAAGACTGCAAGAAAAAATAATATTGACATGGCAGACCCCACTTTAATCCTCAGCACCACATATAGTCCTCTGCACCACCAAAAGTGGTCCCTGAGCACAGAACCAGGAGTAAGAACAGCTGGGTATATGGCCCAAAAATCAAAAAGGTGTCAATCTTTTGATTGTGAGGTGAGTGCATCAGCAGCCTGATGGTGCCTTCAGACTTCCAGATACCCCAAAATTGCTGCTGTGCCTTTGGCCAGACCCCAAAAACTTGGGGCAAAGTTTACCAAGAAAGTAAACAGCCAAAAGTTAGGTATGTGGGAGACATACCCACAAACCACCTCCGGCTCAGCTATATAATTGGAGGCATGGCCTCTCTGGTTCCTATCGAACTGCTTAATGGCCACGATTCCAGAGACTCAGAAACAAATCTTGAAACCCAACGGCTTTTGGCAGAAATGTGTCCAGTCCCTGCAGTAGGTTACTGGCGCCGGGCCACCCCAGGTGGGAATAAGTTTCGTGCCTTGGCCTGTTCCCCCTGCGGCCGTCATCCTCCTGAGGCCACTGGGCAGTCAGGTCTGGGCCCACAGTGACGAGACACGTGGGGCCTCAGGGGATGGGGGTGGAGCCGGCTCTTTCCTCTCTGTCCCAATGAGACCCTGAGTCACCACCAACAAATGGCCTCTCTGGCTCCTGATCAAGTTGCTTAATGCCCATGATCCCAGAGACACAGAAACAAATCTTGAAACCCAGCGGCTTTTGGTAGAAATGAGTCCGGACAGCGCAGTAGGTTACTGCTGCTGGGCCACCCCAGGGGGGAAAGTGTGCTGTCCCTCCACCTGCTCCCCCTAGGCGGCTCAGTGGCCGCCATCTTCCAGAGGCCACTGGACAGTCAGGTCTGGGTCCACAGTGACGAGGCACTTCGGGCCTCATGGGATGGGCGTCGAGCTTGCCCTTTCCTCCCCACCCCAACAAGACCCCAAGTCACCGCCCACGAACGGCCTCTCTGGCTCCTGATTAAGCATCTTAATGGCCATAATCCCAGAGACTCAGAAACAAATCTTGGAACCCAGTGGCTCTTGGCAGAAATGCGTCCGGACCCACAGCAGGTTACTGTTGCTGGGCCACCCCAGGGGGCAAAGGGTGTTGTCCCTCCGCCTGCTCCCCCTAGGCGTCTTGGTGGCTGCCATCCTCCAGAGGCCATTGGACAGTCAGGTTTGGGCCCTCAGTGACGAGACACATGGGGCCTCGGGGGATGGGGGTGGAGCCGGCCCTTTCCTCCCCATCCCAATGAGACCCCTGAGTCGTTGCCCATGAACAGCCTTTCTGGCTCCTGATCAAGCTGCTTAACAGCCATGATCCCAGAGACTCAGGAACAAATCTTGGAACCCAGCAGGTTTTGGCAGAAATCCCTCCAGATTTAAGTGTTAAAATTTTGAACTTCAAAATCACGTGGCCACTACTGCAGCCATGTGACATCATATGTTATTCATAATCAGCAATAGAAAACAAACTGTTCTACTGTTGCCCTTTCAGCAGATGAATGTTGGGGTAAAATTCCAAATAATAATGGTGGGTCTGGTGTCAAAATATTGAATGTAATCAAAGTAGAGAGAGAGAGTAATGTGGAAGTCATCTGCCCCCAGGTAGAGGGAGGATGTAGGATGGGGGTATACTGGGGTTTTTGGTAGTGGAGAATGGGCACTGGTGAGGGTATGGGTGTTTCATTGTATGACCGAGACTTAGACCCGAAAGCTTTGTAACTGCTTTCATGGTGATTCAGTAAATAAAATTATAAAAAAATAAAGGGCTGAAGCAATAGCACAGCAGGTAGGGCATTTGCCTTGCAACTGCCTTCTTTTTTTTTTTTTTTTTTTTGTAGGAGTACTGCTATTTATTCAGCCACTGATTAGCTGATTGAATTGAGCATGAACTCCACCTTAATTTTTTTTTCATAATTTTATTTTTTTTCTTTTTATATTTATTTATTGAATCACTGTGGGAAAAGTTACTAAGCTTTCAGGTTTAAGTCTCAATCATACAATGATCAAACACCTTTCCCTTCACCAGTACTCATTTTTCACCACCAAGAACTCCACTATACGCCCCCTCCCACTCCTCCCAATGCCTGCGAGGCAGATGATTTCTACTTAACTCTTCTCTACATTGATTACATTCACTATTTCGACAAAAGATGCACCATTATTGTTTAGAATTTCCCCCCAAATAATCAGAATTGCTGAAAAGGCATTGTGAAATATTTTGTTTTCCATAGCTGGTTATGAGAATCATATAATGTCACGCGACCACGACTTTGGATTTCTGCAAAGAGCCAGATAATTACGAGATTGGTTTCGGTAGGGCTTGAAGGACGTGCCGGTACCACCCCCCTTCCCATGAGACTGCAGTTGCCCCGTCACCGCTGGCTTGTACCTGGCTTTCCTATAAACTCTGAAGTGGCGGCCACCTTGCTGCCAGCGGGGAAAAAGGCAGAAGGGAGCAACACCCTTTCCCTCCCAGGGAGGCATGGTACCGTAGTTTAACGCATGGTCCATTCACTTTTCTTCTACAAGCTGCTGGGCTCTGGACTAAGTCCTTTTGCCTCTGGTGCCATGGCTGTGCCAGAGAGCCGCTTGTGGGGAGCAACTCATGACCTCAGTAGGGCGTGAAGGACAAGCCGGTACCGTCCCCTTCCCATGAGACTGCAGTTGCCGCTTCACTGCCGGTTCATACCTGCCTTTCCAATAAGCTCTGAGGTGGCGGCCACTTTGCTGCCAGGGGGTAAAAAGGCGGCAGGGAGCAACACCTTTTCCCTCCCAGGAAAGCATGGCGCCGTAGTTTAATGCATGGTCCATTCACTTTTCTGCTGCAAGCTGCCGGGTTCTGGATTAAGTCCTTTTGCCTCTGGAGCCATGGCCATGCCAGAGAGCCGCTTGTGGGGGGCAACTCATGACCTCAGTAGGGCATGAAGGACGAGCCAGTACCGCACTCCTTCCCATGAGACTGCAGTTGCCCCGTCACTGCCAGCTCATACCTGGCTTTCCAATAAGTTCTGAGGTGTCTGCCTTCTTTTTTCAATATTCTTTTCTTATTTTTTCCCTTTTTGATTTTTTTTTCATTTTTTAATCACTGTCACTGTCACTGTCCTCCCGTTGTTCATCAATTTGCTTGAGTGGGACCAGTAATGTCTCCATTGTGACAACTGTTACTGTGTTTGGCATATTGAAACGTCACGGATAGCTTGCCAGGCATTGCCGTGTAGGCGAGATACTCTCGGTAGCTTGCCGGGTTCTTCGAGAGGGGTGGAGGAATCGAACTTGGGTTGGCCATGTTGGCTGCATGCAAGGCAAATGCCCTACGAGCTGTGCTATCGCTCCAGCCCAGGGTATGACCCAAAAAGCAAAAAAAAAAAAAAAAAAAAAAAAAAAGAAGCTAATGAGGGCCCAGCTCCACAACTAATATTAAAAAAAATATGATGAAGGGGCTGGAGCTATGAAGGTCATATTTGCCTTGCGCACAACTGATCCGGGTTCAATTCCCAGCATCCCATATAGTCCCCGAGCACTGCTAGGACTGAGTGCAGAGCCAGGAGGAATCCCTGAGCATCACCCGGTGTGACCAAAAAAGCAAAAAAAAAAAAAAAAAAAAAAAAAAAATCATGATGGTAGACTGATACAGGCTGACAACTCTGAGGCCTTCTTAGAATGGGAGTGGACAGAATTCCTCTCTCTGCCTGAAGGCACAGCAACCCGAAATCACATCTGACACCTCCAACATGAAAACTGCTCAACTCCACAATTGAACCTCATTAAACTGCCAAGTCACATTCCAGCTCTGTAGCTCTGGGACTGTGCGGTCATGTGACACCATCAAGTTTCACAGGACTGTCAGTCCAGTAAGATCACTGCGAATCTGTGGGAAAGTTGCAAAGAAGACCACCAAGTTCAATGAGTCTAAATGATAACACAGAAGGCTTGACTCCCATCTCCCAGACCTGCAAATCCTCAGACAGTGACTTCAGTAACGTTATTGTGAGACACAGTAATTATCACAATTTGACTCTTATTCATCTACATTTTGATAATTCCATTTGCCTTTGTCTTGTAACAAACTATGAAATAAATTTGTTTGTTCCTGCAAGAGCTGCAATGGTGAGTGGGAAATTGGGGACGTTGGTGGAAGGAAGGTCATACAGGTGGTGGAACTGGTGTTGGAACACATAATGCCTGAAACACAAATGCTAGAAAATTGTATTATGAATGATTTGGCAAATCATGGAATTATGATAAACAAAAAAAATTTAAAAGAAGGTAGTTTTGGGGTCAGAGTGATAGTACAGTGCAAAGGCCCAGAACACAGTGCTGCACAGTGTGGCTAAATACAGTCTCCAGATTAACTGTATTATTTTATGCAGGTTGGATAGAACTATTGCTAATCCTCAGACTTCTTTCTGGAACTGATTTATAATTTATATACAAAACCCAAAAAAAGGTTCATGTTTAATATGTGTTACACTGTTGAAAATACTTGTTAAATATAAGCTAAATAACTAAAATTTGACAGTCTTTTTTTGTTTGTTTTTGATTTTTGGGCTACAACCTGGCAGTGTTCAGGGGACCATATGGGATGCGGTAGATTGAACCCGTGTTGGCCAGGTGCAAAGGGAGCACTGCTACTCTATTTATCTAGCCCTGAAAAGCTGACAGTCTTTTTGATGTTGCTGTTTTGGGGCGACATACAGTGATAGTCAGGAGCTACTTCTGGATTGGTATTGGGTGGGGTTGGGGGGGTGGTCCCCATGTATGGTGCCTAGGGGACCATTTGGTGCCAGGGACTGAACCTGGGCCTCCCACATGCAAAGCATACACTCATCTCATTGAGATGTTTCTCCGGGTCAGAGCTTGGTCCTTGTTGGAAGTACTGGGGTAGGTGTGGGGCCCACAGTGCCAGAGGTAAGACTCAGACCTGGCACATGTGAGGCACAAACCCTGTCATTAGCTCTCTCTCCAGATGGAGGGTAATTAAACACTGAGAGACAAAATATAATGACAAAAACATTCCATAGCCAAGCTAATGACATGCCTTACTTCAATATTTCTTCTCTGCACTGCCTCTGTGTGGCAAAACAAGCTATTGCCCACATTTTAATTTCAACTCCTGTGTGGAACTGTTTCCCTCGCATGTCCCAGACTCCGTGGCTTGGTGTTGCTACTGTCCGATTCTATGGAAAAAGAGAAAAAATACAATAAGAAAAAAAAAGGACAAGTAAGGTTTAAAAGAATATATATTTCAGTAAGCTGGAAAGGAACATTCCAAATTGCTAAACTGATCTGCCACTGATATTCTACATGAAACAGCCTTTTAATTCTAAATCAATTATATTTATTTCTGGCTTTTTAGGTCACCCGGTGATGCTCAAGGGTTAATCCTGGCTCTGCACTCAGGAATTACTCCTGGCAGTGCTCGGGGGAACCATATCGGATGCTGTAAATCGTACCCCGTTGGCTGTGCAAGACAAATGCCCTACCCGCTGTATGACTGCTCCACCCTCTTGTTTTTATTTCTAATCATAAGAATACAAGAAATTCCACTAATCTCCAACAAAGACATTTACCTTGAAATTAAAAAAAGTGTTGAAAGGATACACTTTCAATTCCAGACTTACTAGAATGCTCTGTTTTTCACACTTAAGAAACCGTTTGCAATAAATAAACTTTCAAGGGGGTTTACCCGTCCTCCATACTGAAGCATCGGTGCTGGAAGTACACGTCCTGTTACATGGGCCATCTCATCCCGAACCTTGAACTGAAACTCCTGAACAAATGGATCTGTTTCATAATTTGCGCTTCTTACCTAACAATAGGAAAATTTATAGTTAATTTCAAAATTCACCTGCTTTAACACATTAGAATCCTCCAGCTCTTCTTCACCGTGTCAATCATGCTTTAGTATAGATCTAGTTAAAAATGTCCTGAATATAGGTGCCCTGAGTTAACTGGGAGCACACAGCAGGTAAGTACCACAAGAAGAGGGTGTGAAGTTTTAGAAATTCAGAGGAAACTTAAATGGATTATATGGTTGAATGATAAGATATTTCAGCTACGTAGAACCCTTGGGAACAAAAAGTTTGTATAATTAAACCCAATATATCTGGAAAGATTACAAGGAAAAATTCCTGACCTAATTAAAAACCATAGTGGCAGAGATGTAGTTCAGTAGAATACAACACTCGCATTTATGAGGCCCATGCTTTCACCCCTAGTACCAGGAAAGAAAAATAAAAAAGAACAGGAACATTAATTTATATACAATTCAATTGAATATTTTCAGATAAAAAGTGTCACAGGGCTGGGAAGTAATACAAAGGTTAAGGTCCATGCTGTGCACTGCTGAGGTGGCCTGGGTAATTCCCAGCATCACTTCCTTGGGCTCCTGCACTGAACCACTGACCTGTTTGGCTGAGAATCACTGGGCACTGCTTGGGATGCCCTACCCTCCAGAAGCGTCAGGTATAAAATTTACTTAGACAAGATTGAGGTATACTAGAAAGCCATTGTGAGTTATAGATAATAATTTTAATCTTGACTATATATACACATATATATGCACACATATAATGATAAAGCATCATACTAATTCAGTTCTCATTGAACGAACCACAGAATATAATTCAATTTATAACATGCAACAGTTATTTTTTTCCTTAGAAGTTTTTTTGAGCCACACCCACTGGAGCTCCGAGCTATTCCCAGCTCCATGCTGGGGGCACTCATTCCTCCTGATAGTGCCAGGAGTAGATCCCAGGCCTCCTGAATGCAAAGTATGCACTCAATGCACTGGAGCTTTCTGTTGGGTCCTAACTTTTTCTGTTTTCGACTTTTGGGCTGAAGCCAGGGCTTACTCCTGACTCTGTGTGTAGGGATCCCTCCTTTTGGGGACTGGGAGACCCTATAGGATCCCAGGGATTGAACGCAGGTTGGCCACATGAAGAAACTGCCCTACCCATTATACTATCTTTCTGGTCCCCAAGCCTTGTTTTTCTAAATATATTCATGTGTACTCTGGTAAAGGTAAAGGTAAAGGCCCTCCCGTTGATCGTCGATTTGCTCGAGTAGGCCCAGTAACGTCTCCATTGGAGACTTTGTTGTTACTGTGTCTGGCATATCGAATACTCTCCGTAGCTTGCTGGGCTCTCCGAGAGGGGCGGAGGAATCGAAATCGGGTCGGCCATGTTGGCCGCTTGTAAGGCCTACCCGCTGTGCTATCGCTCCAGCCCGTGTACTCAGATAAGGGTCAAAAAAAGTTACAAAAGACAGTGTTCGGTCTCTTAGCAAAAATCCAATAAAAAAAAACCTGAATAAACAAATATGAAAAAAAGAATCTTCCTATTGTAAGTAGGAAAAATTAACTTCCAAATTAGGCCTTTATGCATCATTTCCTCAAGCTTAAATTTCTGTTTGGTTTGATATTTCAGTGCACCTTCAGAATACGTGCTACTTGACAAGATATGACTATGCTAGATGATATAATTGCTAAAAATGTTTTAAAATGTTCACAAAAATCCTAATTATATAATCTTATTATTTGTCTGCCAGTCCATCTTTATTTCTGTTAGGAACTGGACCTAGGGTCTTATACATGCAAACTGTTCCACCTTTGAGCCTATAATCTTTATTTTTCATTTATTTAAATTGGGGGTGGGTTGGAGGTTTGTTCCACACCCTGTGGTGCTCAAGGATTGAATTGGAGTTGACTACATGTAAGGCTCTCACTGTAGTCCTTATTTACTGATTGACTATCTGGCTTTCCTATTAGTGCTCAGGGGGCCTAGGGTAGTTGGGTCATACTTGGCCAACCAGGCTGGCGGTTCAGTGCTAGGGCCCTGGGATTCAGTGCTGTTTGGGTCCTGTAGTACTGGTAGGTGCTGAGCCACTTCAGAAGTTCTGGGTGAAGAGGGTGAAGAGGAAGCCCCCAGGGGTATACTCATGGGCCTGGAACCTTGGTCAGACCCATGTAAGGAGTGTACCCTAACGCTTGCACTATCTCCTTGGTCCCCTACAGTCCTCATTTTAAAGAGACTAAAATTTGGGGACAGGGATACAGCTCAAGTGTAAGGTACCACATTGCCTCCTGAGCAGCACTGGAGGCCCCCAGCACTACCAGTCTGGGCAGGCTGAACTCTGATGGGAGTGGCCCCCTTCACCAGCGCTATTGGGTGTGACCCCTACTGGAAGAAAAAAAAAAATGCCTGGGAGCCAGAAAGATAGTACAGCAGTTAGAGTGTCTGCCTTGCATGTGGCTGAGCCCAGTCTGATCCTCACCATCACTTACGTTCCTTTGCTGAGCACTACCAAGAAATGAGCCTTAAGTATCCTGGGAATGACCCGACTCCCTTCCCAAATAAAAAAAAAGAGGTGTAAAAACAAAGCTTAATAAAAATAAGTGGACCTAAGGAGGAACAGACTTGAATCCATGTATGTCCTGATTCTAGAATTTACTCTCTCATTTCATTTCACTTGCCTTCCAGATGCTGGAGCTTTAGTAGGGGGCTAGCACCACAGTAACATAAGTGAAGAAGTGAGGCTTTGAACAGAGCTGTTAGATTCCAAAGCCTGTGCTAATGTTTTTTTTTTGAGAAGGTGGGGTGAGGGTTTCTTAAGCAGTGCTCAGGAGGCTGGGATGCCTTCCAGTAGGCAGCCAGTTTAATGCAAGGCCCAAAGGATGCAGTGCTGTGATGGTGCTGTGGTGTTGGGGACCATAGAGCAACTCTGCTCGTGTTTAGGGCCTCTGGGTCAATGTTCCCGGCAATGCTTTGGAGGGTGCGGGGGTCCATACAGTGCTAGGGATTGATCTAACTAACCTTTGTACTATCTTCCCCAACTTACAAAACCTGCGCTTAAATATTATCTCTCTGAATAATTAATCTTCAATGAGTTAAAACAACAATTTATTGAGATTTTATAAGTAAGGGGTTCGAATCTCTTACAGGTTTTAAACTCTTATCATAGCAGAGTAAAAAAATCAATCCATGATGAGGATCAGTCTGTGTTTTATATCAGGTTAGTTGAATTTTATGTAATAACTTTATTCATTCTTTATAAAACTATAGTTTAAAAATGTTTTAAATTTTATTTTAGTTTTGGTCTTTGGGCCACACCCGGTGATGCTCAGTACTTACTTCTGGTCTGCACTCAGGAATTATTCCTGGTGGTGTTCAAGGGCCATATGGGATACCAGGTATTGAACACGGGTCAGCACAAGCAAGGAAAGTGCCCTACCCACCATACTATCTTCTCCAGCCCGTATCCTAGTATGTTTTAAGTTTTCCTTCCTTGGGTTAAGTACTAACCAATCTGCTAATCTCTTCTTGTCTATCGGGTGCAGATCTTGCTGTGGCTTTGATCATTGTGGAAGTCTGATTGTCCGTTAGCTTCTTAATACATCGCTGTCCTGCCACAATATTACAGACCTACAAACGGAAGGAAGCTTTGCATTACATGTACATGTCCTTTCAAAAACTTTCAGTGCCAATCACACGTAAAATCAACTTTTAAAATCAACTTCATTAAACCACTTCTTTTAAAATGATCATTTTAAGTTAAAAAGAAAAATAGTCAAATACATTACAAAATGATAGCTGAGTTAAAATATAAAATCGGGTTAAAAATATAAAAATGTCTGAAAAGAAGTATTCCAAAGTGTAATAGAATTTGCATTAAAATAGTATTATGGATGAATGCTTCCCTGTATTTTTCATTATAAGCATTTACAAAATCAAAGACCAAAACAATGTGAGAATATGAATTAAGTTAAGAAGCATAATAAAAGACTCCCACAGAATGGTGATGGAAAGATGTTAATAAGCAACCCAAATACATTACTTCTAGCGGCAGGTATGTATGTTTCTGCTCCTGTCCCACTTGCAGACAGGGAAGGTGTGGGTACTTCAACTGAAGAGTGTATTTTTCTCTGAAATACTGTGCTACTGTTCTTTCCACTGTTTGGCCGTTTTCTAACTGTAAAGGAAAGCTAAAGAAAAAAAAAAAGAAAAGCAGATATTAACAACTCATGTGGTTATGAGTCAGCAAAACTCCCGATTCACTAAAACAAGCTGCCTCACAAGGGCTCTGCTCTGACAAATACCAGCTTTTCTTACGTTTGATGACTGGCAGGCCTTCTTGTTACATTACAAACACGGTATTTCCGTCTCATTGTTCCACAATGAGTTACTTCAACCTTCAGACCTGTTCCCAACAAGAAAAACAGAGGTTACAGGACTGTCACATGTGAACTATTTATAGCTATAAATCTTGTTCAGCACTATAAAGACTTAAATTCTAAACATACAGTTTATGTGTGATACAAGCAACAGGCTATTAGCAAAGAACCAACATGACATTTGGGATATGGCCACAGTCATGAGAAACTTAACAAACGTCTTCCCTAACTGATTAAGTTCTATACATTACAAAAAAACAGAATAAAAAATTCTCCATTAAAAACACCACTTTTTTTTCTTCTTTTACTTTTTTTCAAAAAAAGAAATAAAGCTTATAATAAATTTTAGGGTTTTTGTTTTGTTTTGGGGCTACACACAGCTGATGCTAGGACTTACTCCTAGCTCATTGCTCAGGGATGACGTCTAGCAGTGCTCAGTGGGTCCTATGCAGTGCTGGGCAAAGAGCCCAGGTTGGCCATGTGCAAAGCAAGCACCTTCCCCACTGTACTATCTCTTTGGCTCAAATTAAATAAAACTACTTGTAGTTTTTTTTTTTTTTTTGAGGAGGTGGGTGAGCCACATCTCTGGCAGTGCTCAAGGTTTATCCTGGCTCTGCACTCAGGGTTCACTCCTGGATGAGATTGGGGGAAACATGGGGTGCCAGTGAAAGAAGCTGGGTTAAGTCGCATGTGAGCCAGTGCTTTAACCGCTGTAATACCAAGTCCCAAATTTGCTGGCTGAAGGGGTGGGTGGGTGGAGTAAGAGGAGCTGTAATGATTTTGAAAATATTCTACAACTTTCAAATATCCAAAAATTTTCAAAACATTTTGACAACTGGATGTAATATTTGAATATCCTAGTTATCACACACTGACTAACAATCAGGATTTCATAAAGTTCAAGTGGAAAGTCATTGAACAATTTTAAAACATGAGAAAAAATTTTCCAGGTCATATTATTAGATATGGAGTGAGAATTTTGTTGAAGTATCATATAGTGACATGCCTCTACTACTGAATATTAGAAATCCAAGCAACCAAAACAGTCCTACCTTCATATGGAATCACTGATCTCTTTGATAATCTCAGTAAAGCAAAAGAGTTTCAGAAAAATACATATACACATAACTTAGAGCATGATTTTAGCTCTTAAATCTAAGTCCTGGCGGTCTTGGTGAACACTAGGGGCTTGAGGATCACAGATCTGCTTTAGAAAGTGAGAAACAGGCTTTTTAAATTATGGGTTGAGGCCGGAGAGATAGTACAGTGGATAATGCTTTTGCTTTGCATACAGCTGGATCTGATCCGGAACACCACATGGAGGGCCTGCAAGGACCCCCAGGAGTCATTCCTGAGCTCAGAGCCAGGTGGAAGCCCTGAATCCAGTTGGGTGTGGACCAAAAACAAAACAAAAAAAAATAAATCATGGAATGAATTTTGCTTCTTTTTCAGAAGAGCCACCTGACAGTGCAGGTCTGATGAGGACAGTGTTCAGGGGCCACCGGGGCTACACACAGGAGTCCAGTAGTGTTGGCGTGTGTATATGTGTTCATGTGTGCGCGTGCTTGCATGTGTGGTGTGTGGGGATCAAACTCAGGGACTTGTACTAGCTAGGCATGTGCTCTACCACTTAAGCTATCTCCCTGGCCAAAGGATGAATTTTCTTAAGCATCGCTGAAAAGATTTTTCTGAGATGAAGTAATGTTCTATATTTGTGCGAATGTGGCAATGTGTTACTGAGCACATGGAATGTGGTCAGTGTGACAGAGACTCTGGCAATTTAGTTTCACTTAATTTAGATTTAAATAACTACACAGAGATGGTGGCTGCCAATGGCCCGTGAAGTCTTAGAGCTGCGTAGAGAAGAGTTAACAGAGCAGCTGACTTCTACTCCAGGATAAGTGACTCGATTTTTATGGCTGGTCTAGACTCCTGAGAGAAATTTAAAAAGGGGTCAATGGAAATCAACTCTTAAATACTGTATTTAATTTTTTGAGGATGACTTTTAGTTCCCTGTCATATTTTTGGGTACTGTTATTATTATTTTTTATTTTTGTGATTCCTTTTGTCAGAGGAAACATTCAGAGTCAGAGAGAAAACATTCAGTAAAGTCTAGAAACACTTCTGACTGTCATGTGTGGGGATTCTAACAAAGTGGGGCAGTACTAGATTTAGGGATGCAGTGCATAAGACAGTACTGCCACCCTCAACCACAACAAAGAATAATCCAGCCCAAAATATCAATATATCAATAGTGCCAAAGCTGAGAACAACCCTGCAGTAGCATAGCTTAGTCCTAATTGCTGGTTACAAAATACTAAACACAAAGTTGGCTCATGATAATTGTTTCCTCTGATATAACAGCATAAATTAAGATGTCAAATGGACACTGCATTAGATTGGTAATGGGCTCTTTTGAGAAGCTATCTTAAGTAAATTAGTGAAAAACAGATTTCATTAGTAACTACTTTTATAAAACTAAAACTATGGACCAATTGGAGCATTTACTATGTTTCTACTATAAAGGAAGCTAAAAATTAAATATCATCAAGGGAAGCTCTTATAGGGCGGAAATGCTATTTAAAGCAAGTTATGAAATGTTTAGCAGGGAAACAAAACATTTAAATACAAATTTCTGATAATCTATACCTTTTAAGCAATTTATCTCTGTATTCCTCTTGAATTATAAAAGTTATTAGTGAGGTTCTAGAGGCTAAATAGGTTTTTATCAAAAAATAAACTGATACTTTTATATACATATGATTTTTTTTACCATATATTTCACCCAATACTACTTAACTATGATGAATTATTTGATAAGGAGTTCCTACAGTTATTACTAAATTTTTAAGAAAAAGCTTAACTGGAACCAAATGAATTTACTAAGGATATCTACTAGCTAAAGCACACATTATATCTCTATTTTTTCAGTTACAAATGCCTCATGCCAGCTAAATATTAAACCCATTTACATAGCACAGAACACATAAGTTTGATTTTCTTGAGGTACTGTGGTGGGAATACATGATGTACTTTAAAAAAAGCCCTCCTTTTAATTAAAAAAAAAAAGCCTTCTTGACTTTGAATGGAGGAAAAAATAATCAGCTTGTCAATTATACCCAATTCTGATTTTTCTACCCCAAGTCTAGGGGCTGAGATAGATACCTAGGAATTAGACCCAAAATCAGGGATTAGAAAGTTGAACTTGATAAGGACTAATTCTGTGCCCAGGACCCTCCCCAAACCCTCCATCCAACCAAAAAAATTTTTTGGCTTTAATAAATCAAAAATTTAACCTATAAACTTGGCTTTACCTTCACTATAACATCAACTTTATAATGCTTTCTAGTCATTTTTTCAGTCATTTCTTTGGGCCCCTGAGCAGTTGAAGTTAAGATCGAGTCCATGCTCTTCGGGCAGCAGCTGAATCCTTGTTCTGTACATCTTGTATTTTCTGTGATAGAGTGGTGATATGAGTTGATTGCATAGTTACCGCAAAATAATGTAAATGATTTCATGATATCAGAGGTGGTAACTAAGCAGCAACTCCACTGGAAACTATGGTATTCAGATGATCACATATTAATGGTGGGAAATGCACTAGCTCCTAATAATGCTAACTGTGCATTCAAAACAGATTATGAGAGGACAATGGTATGGTTGCAAAACAGTAAAATATAACAGTTTCTTATGTGGCTCTTAGACAAATTGCGATACTTATTCTTAAAATGGTACAGAATTTTCTGTTTAAGATTTTATTGCAATGATCTATTTCTCTCAGTTACTGAGTGGCAGAAAATCCACAACTGTTGGAGCAAGCAGAATATATTCACTATTCTAACGGATTTGGGAACTGAAAGAAGTTCAGTAAACAAACTTCAGTACTTCATTTAAAACATAAGCTGAATATTATCTGCAACAAATAGGGAAAATTTTAAAACAACAATTATTTTTAAGATCTGACACTTAATATAAACAGAATTTAGTAGCGAATATTTCATTTTATTCATATCTAAATAATAAAGAACTAAATACAGTGGAGTCACATCTGACATGACAATTAGGTTCTAAAGTCATGAATAAGGTAAGGACTGTACGTAATTCTTCTTGAAAACTACCTTAAATTGCTGAAGTAGTATATGTGGATTTGCACATGAAAATGCATGTGTATAAAGGAATGCATATACACAAAAAGTAAATATATAGAAAATACACACTTTATTTTTGAATTTTGGGGCTGTACCCAGCTATGCTCAGGGCTTACTCCTGGCTCTGTCACTCAGGGATCATTCATGGAAGGCTTGATACCATAAGCTAGAGATGGACTGGAGATGGAACCTGGGTCATCCACATACAAGGCAAGTGTCTTATCCATTGTACTATCTCTTTGGCTTCTAATTTATTATTATTATTGTCATTTCTTGGTTTTGGGACCACACCTGGCTATACATAGAGTTTATTACTGGTTTTGTGCTCAGGTTTCAATCAGGGCGGCACTCAGAGAACAAGATGCAGTGCCAGGAATCAAATTGGGGACAGTAGCATGCAATGCAAGAGTCTTATCCCTGTGCTATGTATATTTTTTGGGGGGAGGGGCACACCTAGCAGTGCTCAGGGCTTACTCCATGGTCTGTGCTCAGGGATTTTCCTGGTGGTGCTTGGGGGACCACATGTGGTGCTGGGGATTGTACCTGGGTCTGCAAATGCCCTACTGGCTTCATTATCACTCCAGTCCATGTGCTATATTCTTCTTAATCTCTTTGGAAGGCCATGGGGAGATGAATTCATGTTAATAAGATGTACATTTGATGTAACTCCACTGTACAAATTTTAACTACTAAGGCAGGCAAAGATCAATAGTCAACTGTATTAAGTACAACTAAACTTCAGAATAACAAATGGAACTGGTTAGCTGCATATCTATAATTTTTAACAAGATTAAAATATTGTCATTTCAGAAAAATAAAGAAGTCCAGTTTGGAGCTGTTTTTGGAAGAGGATTCCTACTTTCAACCCTATTCTAGAAGCATTTTCTCATTAGATATTCTTGTACTTTCAGCCAAGAAGGGAAAATGTATTAACAAAAAGTGAACTGGTAGAGATGTAATTCCATTACTTGGCATTCTTCTTATTCAAATACTACCTAAGATGTCATGGTAATGAATTTGATGTAAACACTTTATCATTGATCTATAGTTCAACTGGTGATGTTGCATGAATAAACTTTAATTATGAAAAATGTCTTATTAATAAAAGTTTATTATATCCATGCACTTTACAGTTAAGTTTTTCCTTTGCTAATTAATTCACCTTTAATCTCTTTGGTGAATTTTACCCGATGAGAATCAGTCAGAGGTCTTGGTTGTTCATCAATATTATGAATATCAAGAACTTCACACATGAACTGAATTACAGGTTGTGCTTTGTAGAAGGCAGTGGCAGAAACTAAGAAGAAAAACACAAATAGTACAAATTAATGCATGCTTAAAAAATTAAGAAACTATAACTCAGTCTCCATGATAATTACAGAGTTTAAAAGATCCTTCACATACACTTATTTACATACATGGATATTTACAAAATTAAGCTGTTTTAGTTAGATATCTCTTGAACTGGTACATAGACACAAGTGCAGAAGAGGCAAACGGTTTATATACTCCATTTTTCATCATGTTAAACAAATGACTGCATTCTCTACTATAGTAAGAGTGTATAAGACAATTAAGAACAGGATATAAGACAAGCCCTGTAAAAGGATAAAGAACGTCAGAACCTATTAGTAGATGAAAGATTAGGTAGTTTCTTTTATTTCTGGACCACATTTGGTGGTGTTCAAAGCTTACTCCTGGTTCTGTGCTCAGGGATCACTCCTGGCAGGCCTAGGGGACTAGATGGGTCAAACTTTCATCAGCCCCGTGCAAAGTAAGAGGTCTACCCACTCTGGCCCCAGACATTGTTTCTTGAGCAAAGCTTTCTACGACACCCTAGGTGGTACTTTAGAAAGACCTTTCCCAGTTGTGTACAGATTTTCGGTAACAGTGGTATTAAATGCTACTGAACTAGCAAGTTTTTTTTAACATCAGTATTTAAATATATATATATATATATATTTTTTTTTTTTAAGTTTTAGGATTGCAACAGTGTCACCAATGGTTAGTAGAGCAGTATTCATTTTTTGGAAAACATTCTACTACTAAAAACAAGAGGCATGGACACAGAATGCTGTCTCATAGGTGGGAAATAAAGAAACATAGTAAAGCAATAAAGAATGCTTGAAGGCAACAGAGATTGAGAACTGGTTTTCAGTAGGAAGCTGACCACGGGCAGGGTTGTGGGAGGGGGGCACTCTGGAGGAGGATGTGGTGCTGGAATGTTTCATGGATGGAACCCTACATTAACATTACTCTAAACCACGGTGTCTATAAAAAAAAACCCAAAAAAACTATGAAACATCTAAACAGACAATATGCCACATGCTATCCTTTTACTTTTCTGTTTAAAAAAAATGCTCACTACATGCTAAGTGTAACAAAAAAATTCTTTTTTGAGGGGAGCTTTCTAGTGAGTAGTGGTCAGGAGGTGATGCGCTGATGATCAATCCAATAGCTCAGTGGTAGGGCGCAAGAATGCCGTGATGCTTGGGTCCTGCTATGGTCCTGCTGGGGACCACTACTAGCATCACTTGAAGGCACTCAAGGTCTCTGAGATCACATCTGGTGATACTCAGGGGCAATATGTGCTCAAAATTGAACTTGGGTTGTGTGCATCTGAAGTGTCAACTTTAATTCCTGTTCTATCTACAAAGCTCAACCAAGTGTAAGCTTGATTTTATTATTACTCATTTTTGGGTCTCCCAAGGATGCTCTGGAAGCTCAGCGGCTCCCCCCAGCTCTTCTGTCATTTGGGCCAGTGGTTCAGTGTGAGGGCTGAAGGATGCCATGTTGCTCATACCTTGCGGTGCCAGATCTAGGTCACCTCAGTGGTGCTGGGCAGTCTTCAGGGTTGTTCAAGGGACCATGTGGTGCATTGTATGCCACGCAAGCACTTTAACCCCTGTACTATCTATCTCTCTGGCCCCTAATCTTTCTACATGATTGTCTTTATCTCTCTCTTTTTTTTTTTTTTTTGGTTTTGGACTCAATTTGTTATTTATTTTTAAGTTAAATTTCTTTTTGTCTTTGGGACACACATGGTGGTGCTTAGGGCTAACTCCTGGCTCCATAGGTAGGGCTTGGGGGACCATATAGGATGCAAGGAATTAAATCCTGGTCAGTTGTGTGCAAGACAAGCACCTTGCACTACACTATCACTCCCACTTTAGGCAAATTTAGTTCCTCACTTTTGCACATCTAGCAGGGTTTTAACAATATGTCTCAGGGATATGTATTGTGTCGGGATAAAGGCTACCTACTATAGGTGTTTCCTTTTTTTCTTTTTAATCTTTAGATCTTTGATTTTTAATATACACTACCTTTTTTCATTTCTTTATGGAAATAATATTATGTAGTGTCAGGGACTGGAGTGGAGTTAGTTGCATGCTAGACAAGTGCCCTACCTCCTTTCATCTGGTTGAATATGCACTTAAAAGACAAAAATATATACGTATGATTTTTTTAAAACCTGAGAGCAGATATAAATTGTACATAATAAATTAGGTGAATATATATTCTCTCTCCCCTCTTAAAAATATGGCAAAACATTAGAAACATGATTCTGGGTTTTGATTCTTTTTCCTCAAATTTCTGAAAGAGAGAACTGTGGATACTAATATGAAATCTTCTCCTCCTCTGACACAGCTATATCACCCATGCAGGTATCTCATGTTCCTAATGATGGGTATTTATGTTGGTTTTGATTGTTACAGAACACATTTTAGCATCCAGGAAAAGCTTGAAGGGTTAGTGCACATGCTTTGCATGCCAGAAGCCTGGGTTGGATCTCTGGAACCACATGATTCCTGAAGTACCAGTGGGGTGTGAGCCCTAAGTACTGGGCTGGCCATAATTCAGTACTTGGGGGTCTGAACAACTCCTGACCACATCAGTTGTGGCCTCCAAAAAACAGATGTTCAGTGACTATATATGTATATGACTATGTATGTATGTATGTATATGTAATTGTGTGCACATCCATGAGTACTTTTTGGGGGCCGGGGGAAACAACCATCAGTAACCAGGGTCTATTACTGGCCCTTTGCTCAGCAATGACTACGGTTCTGGAGATTTGACAGGATCATAGTAATTGCTGCAGCATGCAAGGCAAGTACCTCACCTCCTATACTCTCTCTCGTGAGTATTTCTGTAGGAGAGATGTAATAAGAATACTCACTGCTACCCACCATTCAAATAAACTTTAGAAAGACCACCTCCAAAACGTCTAACTAAACATGACTGGTAAGACTGTAAAGAGCAATCTGAATGTCTTTTTCAAATATACTATAGTCTAAAACATGCATATAATTTTTCAACAAAAAATGTAAGAATATTATTGTGCACTAAAAAAAAGACTGGCAGATTACAAACCAAATAAGCATATATTATTTGGGTTAATGCTTTTAAATAGAGAGGGGGAAGTATATCATAAGTAATATGCTATTTTTGTTGTTTTATCATTACTATTTTCTTTTCTTTTTTTTTTTAGTCACACCAAGCAATGTTTGGAGTCTCCTTGCTCTGTACTGCTCTCAGAAGTGCTCAGGGAGATGTGCAGTGCCAGGGGCTGAAACTGAGCTTCCAGCATGCAGAGCATGCAGCCCAAACCTATGAGCCATCTCTTGGGGCCATAAATATACAATTTTTACACTTTTGCAACATTGAGCCCAGCCTCATACATGCAAAACATTCACTCTAACATTGAGCAACATCATCCTTGGTCTGAGTAAAAATGCTTATATTGCCTTTCTACAATCTTACAGATAAATTTTCTCCACTGGTTATTTAATACTAAAATTCACTATTTGTAAATTATATCAAAGATTTCTAACTGCCAACAAATATTATTTATCCTCCTTAAAATTCTTTTATTTTCCTTATCTTTCTAATCATCTTACTATTTATCATGAATGTAGACATTTGATTGAAAATGAAAGTTGGTTGAAAATATAAAGCTCTTACAAAAGATTAGCTGAAATCAGTAATTGTGTTATCTCTGTGGCCACAAATTCTTAGTATTTTATAAATCTGTGTGTAGATCCATATATAATATAAACATATATACAATTTTATTCCTTCTTTCCTTTCCAAAAATTAGTTAATTTTAATAGAAAAGTAATGCTTAAATTTCATATTAAAAGAAATCCATGAACAGGGTTTAGAGAGATAGTTCTACAGACTGGAGTGCTGGCTTTCATGCAGGAGCACCAACATAAGTGACTCCTGAGCACTGATCCAGGAGCAGTCCTTGTGCATTCTGGGTAGAGCTCCAAAACAAAACAAAGTCTAATAAGTTAGAGATCTAGCTCAAAGGGCTAGTGGAAAGGCTCTGCATGCTGGAGGTCCAGGATCAATCTTGGGCACTGCATAAGCTCCCAGTTCCACTGATAGCGGCCTATGAGCTCTGTGCTAAGAGTATGCTCTGAGCACCATCAAGTATGGCTCCCCCCAAAAAAACAAAAGTACTATTAAGAGTATATTACATGGGGGAAATTGTCTGCCATGGAGGCAGTGGGAGGGTGGGAAAGAGGGGTTATACTGGGGATATTGGTGGTGGGGAATGTGCACTGATGGAGGGATGGGTGTTCGATCATTGTGTGATTGTAATTCAAACATGAAAGCTTGTAACTATATCTCACGGTGATTCAATAAAATAAAAAAAACCAAGAGTATATTACATGAACTTATTAAAGAAAATAAGCGTATAAAATTTCCATAGATGATAGATCCAAAAAAAGAATTAGATAAAGTTCAGCACTATATGCTGAAATGGCTGCACATGTACACAATTTGAATGTTGGCACTGTCCTCCCGTTGTTCATCGATTTTCTCGAGCGGGCCCAGTAACGTCTCCATTGTGAGACTTTGTTGTTACTGTGTTTGACCATTTGAATGTATTTATTAGAAATCAAACTGCAGTGAGTTTGACAAAGGTATAGTGACAGAAAACAAAATGTAATGATACTCCACTGGAAATCATTAGGGCAAGGGGTAAAGGGATGAACACTTTTGGTATATTCATTTAATTACATACTGCTGTTGAAAAAGAATTCTATATAGCCACAAAACAGCTATACTGTACTAAATGAAGATTTTTTTCAGAGCTGTATTCTGATTCATCATTGTGATATTAAAGTACAGCATTTATGTTTAAAAAAATTCAGCACTATAGGGTTGGAGAGACTACAGGGGTTAAGGAGCTTGCCTTCCATGCAGTGGAACTTGATCCAATCCCCAGCACTGCAGATCGCCCCCAAACACTGACAGGAGTGACTCCTGAGTACAGAGCCAGGG